GTGTGTCCCGGGGCCCGCGGCCCGGAGCCGCTCCCGCCGGTCCCGGTTGCTCTCGGAGGACGAGGCCACGCCCCCACTCCCGGTCTTGCCCCCAGGCCGGTGCTGGAAGTCCATGGTGCCGGCCTCGGGGCTCTATCCGCTGCGAGAAATCTGCGGAAAGGGGCAGAATCACCCCGCTGCCCCACCGGAGCGTGTCGGGCACCACTCCGCCAGGAGCTCGGAGGCTCGGCCGCCTCCAGGCAGCCCACTCGCTCTTGGGTGGTCAACATCTGTCCAGGCCCTGGGCCAACCCCAGGGCAGGCCTGTGAAGACGGGGCCAGCCCCGCAGACGCCCACGCCCTAGCCAGAACTATGTGACAAAGGGACTGTGCAGGCGGGACGCAGTGGAGGACCGCGGGCCCAGAGTAATGGCGAGCACTCTCTGGGAGGCAGGAGGGGCAGGAAGGGGAGGCGACGGGGAGGGAGATCTGCTGCGGCGGGATGGCAGGAGCACAGGAATCAAACAGGAGGCCGGGGGTGGGGGTGGGGGTGGTGTCACGCTGAAACGAGGCCCTTGGGAGGCAGAGACAGGGCCAGCCAGACTTCAATGGGCAGACCGAAGGGAAAAGGCAAACAGGTCTGGGGCCGGCGAGTGGCACAGTGGTTGCGATGCTGGACTCCCACATGGTCGACTACAGTTCGAGTCCTGGACCTGGCAGCTTGCTTTCTCTCTCTCTGGTGAGCGTGCATGCCGTGAGGCAATTCGAATAATAGTAATAATGATAAGTAAATTTAAATAAGTAATTATTTTTACAAAATAAAAAAGCTACTTCTTTAAAAACAGTCAAACCATTCGGGACCGGCAGATGGCGAAACGGTTATGTCACTGGACTCCCACATAATTGACTGAGGTTTGAGTCCTGGAAAAAAAATACCTGTAGTTTAAGGCACTGGGTCCAGGACTCAAACCCCAGTCTACTACGTGGGAGTCCAGCAATGTAGCCATTATGCCATCTGCTGGTCTGCACTGTAGTTTTTTTGAAGAGATTTTTATTATAAGGCGCGCGTGCTCACCAGAAAGAGACAGAAAGCGAGAAATCACCCCCCCAGGGAGATGGCCACGCCGCAATCCCTTCTCCTCCATCCTCCTCTCCGGACTTTGCACACGTACACACGTGGCGTGAGTTTAAGCCACCAGGTCCAGGACTAGAACCACGGACAGCTACGTGGGAGTCCAGGGACATAGCCATTGCGCCAACTGTTGGTCCCAATACTGTAGTTGCCTTTTTTTTTGGGTGGGGGGGTAGGTTTTCGCTCGCCAGACAGACAGAGAGACAGAAAGCGAGAAATCACCCCCCAGGGGGGATGGCCACGCCGCAATCCCTTCTCCTCCATTCTCCTCTCGGGATCTTGGGCACGCACGCACATGCGCCCGGCGTGAGTTTTAAGCCACCGGGTCCGGGACGCGAACGGCGGTCGACTATGTGGGAGTCCAGCGACATAGCCATTACGCCAGCTGCTGGTTCCCTGTAGTTCCTTTTTTTAAAGAGAGATTTTTGCTGTAGGGCACATGCACGCCTAGACAGACAGACAAGGTGAGAAGTCAGCCCCAGGGGCCATGGCCAGGCTGCACTCCCTCTTCCATTCTCCCCTCGGGACGTAGGGCACGCAGGCGCACTTGGTGTGAGCGTCAGCCACTGGAGGGAGAGACGCCTGGACGGGGGTCTGACTTCTAGCATGACAGCTCTGGGCTGGCTTTGGAGCAAGCGGCCCTTCAGGGAAGTCTGGAGGGCCTGGTGTGCCCCGAAGGGTGCAGAGAGGACGCGCGCTCCCGGGGACTGTCCGCCAGCCCCGTGGCGCAGCGGGACCAGCTCGAGAGCCCACATCTGCTACCGCGGCCCAGCAGCTGGAAACCCGGTCCCGCCGGCGGCAGGAAGG